TCGTGAGATTTGGGGGTCTCCGGCCAACCAGCATTTATTGCTCCTACGTAGTTGCCCTTAAGAAGGTGGTAAGCTGCTTTCTTAACCGCTGCAGGCCAGGTGCTGTAGGATGACCCAGAATGCCCTTTGGAAGGAAAATCCAGGATGTTGACCCAGCCACAGTGAGGAAACTGCGATATGTTTCCAAGTCAGGATGGTGAGTGGTTTGGAGGGAAAATTGCAAGTGATGTTTCCCCCCCCATGCATCAGCAGCTCTTATACTTCGACACTGAAGTGCTCCTGGTTTGAAATATACAGTCTGAGGATTTTTGGTGAATTCCTGCAGTGCATCTTCTAGATAGTGCGCACTGCTGCAATGGAGTATCAGTGGAAGCTTGTGGGATCTGGTACCAAGCAAGCAGGCTGCTTTGTCTTGGATGAAGTCAAGCTTCTTGAGTATTGTTGGAGCTGCACTCATCCGGTCAAGTGGCGGAGTATTGCAATACACTCCTGACTTGTGCCTTGTAGACGGTGGTCAAGCTTTGGAGAGCCAGAAGGTGAGTTACTCGCTGCAGTATTCCTGGTTATTGACCTGCTTTTGCGGCCACTGTATTTGGATGTTGTTAAACTTGAGAGGCTGCAGAAAAGATTTACAAGGATGTTGCCAAGACTGGAGAGTTTGAGCTATTGGGAGAAGCTGAATAGACTGGGGATGTTTCTTCCTGGAGCATCAGCGGCTGAGGAGTGGTCTTATAGTGGTTTGTAAAATCATGAGGGGCATGGATCAGGTGCATAACCAACATCATTTTCCTAGGGTGAGCGAGTCCAAAACCAGAGGGCATAGGTTCAAGGTTGGAGGGGAAAGATTTAAAAGGGACCCGAGGGATAACTTTTTCATGCTGAGAATGGGGCATGCGTGGAATGAGCTGCCAGAGGAAGTGGTGGAGGCGAGTACAATTACAACATTAAAAAGGCATGTGGATGTGTATAAGAGTAGACAGGGTTAGGAAGAATATGAGCCAAATGCTGGCAAATGGGACTAGGTCAGATTGGGATGACTGGTTGGTCTGAACGAGTTGGATCGAAGGGTCTGTTTCTGTGCTGTATGATTCTATGTGGCAAGTCCAGTTGAGCCTCTGGTCAATGGAAACCCCAAGGATGTTCATAGTGGGGTTTTAGGTCTGTACTATTTCTGCAGAACTTATTTTAAATGCTTATTCACTAAACAGTATACCTAACTTCAGGTGTTTTGTTATTATTAGAATAAACTTTTTGTTTTGTCTCTTTGTATATTGAGGGCAACTTTTATACATGATTTTGCTTTTCACATTTGCTATCCTTATTTTGTTTGGTTCTATATGACTCCATTCCCATACAAAAATGAACGCCTCATAACTGCACACTGCTGTCATCACTTCAGCCAATCTAGAATTGCTAACCTTCCAGAAATTTTTTGATTTTCCAGGATTTAAAATTTAATCTGGAAATTACTGGAGCAAATGGGCAAATCAGGGCGGGATTTATACACTTAATGGTAAGGTCCTTGGGAGTGTTGCTGAACAAACAGACCTAGAAGTTCATAGTTCCTTGAAAGTGGAGTCGCAGGTAGATATGTTAGTGAAGAAGGCATTTGATATTCTTGCCTTTATTGGTCAGTGCACTGAGTATAGGAGTTGGGATGTCATATTGCAGCTGTACATGACATTGGTTCATCCACTTTTGGAGTACTGAGTGCAATTCTGGTCTCCCTCCTATAGGAAGGATGTTGTGAAACTAGAAACAGTTCAGACAAGATTTACAAGGATGTTGCTAGGGTTGGAGCTATAGGGAGAGGCTGAATAGGCTGAGGCTATTTTCCCTGGAGCATCGGAGGCTGAGGGGTGACCTTAGAGATTTATAAAATCATGAGGGGCATGGGTAGAGTAAATAGGCAGGCTCTTTTCTCCCCGGGGTGTGGGGGTGGTAGTGGGGAGTCCAAAACTAGAGGGCCTAGGTTTAAGGTGAGAGAAGAAAGATATAAAAGGGATCTAAGGGGCAACTTTTTCACGCAGAGCATGGCATGTTATAGAATGGGCTGCCAGATGAAGTGGTGGAAGCTGGTACGATTACAACATTTAAAAGGCATCTGGATGGATATATGAATAGGAAAGGTTTAGAGGGATAAGGGCTAAATGCAGGCAAATGGAACTAGATTTATATACGTTATCTGGTCAGCATGGACGAGTTGGACCGAAGGATCTGTTTCTGTGCTGTATATCTCTACGACTTTCAAAATGATATGGTCATAGAAATCTTAAATTGAATATGGTTTTTGTTTTATTTTAATGTTTTATTTGAACACTTTTTCATTTATTAGTTAGAAAATTATTAGAGATGAGATCAAAGATTGTTTGACTGGGCAAGGCATTTGTAGGCATAAAATGTCATAGGAAACTATAGAAATATAGCTAACTATAGAGTTGCCCATCTCGGTTGCATCAAATCATTTTGATTAAGTAGAAGTTCCATCACCATCTTCTCAGGCAACTATGGATGGTCTTTAGTGCCAGCCTTGCCAGTGATGACAAACAAATGAAGGCATCCTACTGGAAGGAATAAAATGAAGGGAAAAGAAGGAAAGTTATTGATGTCAATATTCAGGCTAAATGACTGTAAAGTTCCCAGCAAAAAGCTGGAGTGTTGGTCATTGATTTGTATAGAACCGTAGTGTAGTTGGAACCAGAGGTGTCTCATAATAATGATTTAACGGCATATGTGATACAAATTGGTAAACCTTGCAATGTTGCGACAAAGAAAAAAAGATGACAGGCTTTAAAATCTTGTGTTAGGACTTGAAAACATAAACTTACCTGAAGATATTAACTAACATGATAAAAGGTCTGGTTACACAGCAACAGAAATACCCAAACATATAGAGATGCTACTCTGGAAGTGTTGATTGAATAGCATGGTTATATTTGGAAAGCAGAACTATAATAGGTCTCACAAAATTATTGCCTGAAATTCCTAAAAAGAGGTATCTATCAATGTTGACTTTGATTTAAAAAAAGCTGGAAGTCAGAGAGCAAGAATATTAGAGAACTTATGATATCTGAAAGTCAGGAATGACTTCTCTTACAGAATGCTTAACAGTAAATGTTCCAAAGTACTTCACAGAAGTAAAACAAAAAGCAGATATGGGGTTTTATAACAGTAAAAGCAAAATTGTGCTGATACTGGAATTTTTAAACATACACAGAAAATGCTGGAGAAACTCAGGAAGCCTGGCAGCATTTGTGGATAGAGAAACAGAGTTAATCTTTTGAGTCTGAAATGGCTGTTCTTCAGAACAGAAGCATTTTATACATTAGGTCATAGAAAGTCAGAATAAATATACAAAGCAATGGATGTACCATGGTTGTGTAGTACTTCGTATGTCCCATTATAGAAATGGCACTGACACCACAGAGAATGCACACATTATACAAAGATGATACCACTGATGAAAAACAAAAGTTATATTGTTGCTTTTTTTTAAACTAAGAGAGTTTTACTAGGGTGGCTCCAGAAAGTCTGCAGCTTTTCTTCTGATTGAAGAATTAGTAATGAAAATAATCGAATTGAGGCAACAGATTAGGACAGAGATTGAGACAAAGCTATTTGTTCAATAATTAAAGTGAGCAATGCTTTGCTACAGAAACAATTGCATCTCCCCAAGGAAATGTGGATAAGGAATTGAACCAATGAGATTAGTTTTGTATTGGTCTAGCAAAGATTGTTAAACTTTTTAATTGTTCATGGGATATGGATGTCACTCACTCGGCCATCATTTATTGTCCACCCCTAATTGCCTTGGAGAAGGTGGTTGTGAACTGTCTTCTTGAACAATAAGGACAGCCAAAATGCTGCTAGGAAGGGAATTCGTGATTTTGATAATGAAGACAGAAAGCTACGTAGCTTTGAAGGACATTTGCAGGTGGTGGTGTTCCGAAACATTTGCTGTCCTTGGCTTTCTGGATAGTAGTGGTCCTGGGTTTGAAATGTGGTGTCACTGGAGGCTGAGTAAGTTTCTGCAGTGTATCTTATATGTGATACATACTGTACTTTGTCCTTTGATGTTGAGTTTCTTGAATGTTGTTTGAGCTATATGCACCCATGTCAGGAGAGAGTATTCCATTACCCTTCTGTGTTGTGCCTTATTGATGGCGATAAAGAGGATAACCATAATCAAAAAGTAGTGATTCCGCATGTTGAAAGGTGCGGAGAAAAGTAGCAATTAGACAGTTTATAGGATGTGCCTTCTGAAAATGTTGAAATCCCTGTTTCAGATTGTAGAATGGCAAATGGGAGGGTGATATATAGATGCCAGTTTTGAAAGAAATCTGCAGGAAACTTAGGCTATAAAAGTTGTAAGACAATGATTCTGAATTTATTGCAATGCGAGAGGAAACCCGAGGATGAGTACAGAAGTCATATATCAGATTTAATGCAAAACAGTATATGGGCAGCAGTATTGGGCAAGATGGATAAAGAGAGCACTTAAGGCACTGAAGTGAGGGATCTAGCATGTTTAGAAGTTATCAAAAAGCACAGATAATAGTTTCAATGGTGAATTGACGTGAATATAACCTGTAGTATTGCTTTAAATTTGCGTTTTAAATTAAAATGGAGTATCAGGCTGAATGCGAGGAAGACACTTCTCATAATTGAACAACTCAGTCCTTATTAGGGTACAGAAATATCCATGAACTAATCTCTGATTGTTCACCGAGGAAGTCTTAATGATTCACTATTTATTAACGACTAGGCTCCATATCTAAACTTGTTGATGGCAGAAAGATATATAGCACTGCATGCGATGCAGACTTGAATGAAATCTTGAAAAAAAAGCTACTGATAAATCGAGTGAAAGCGCAAAGCTGTCGCAATTAGACGTCAATGTAGGTAAAACAAAAGAATCGTCTGCTTTCTCTCTGCCGAGCTTGTTGCTGAGATAAATGGTAGTGCTGAAAATAACACCTTTACGCCTGTTTGCAGTGAAAGGCGGGTCCGGGGGTGCTGCACGCGCAGGTGGTCTCAGGGTGGTTGAGTGACAGGTGCAGTCGCATGCGCGGTGGAAGTGATGTACGGGCCGGACAGTGGATGGGGAGCGAGTGTGAGTGACAGGCGCCGACCGGATCAAGCCGGGTCAGCCAACACGTAAGGTGTCAAAGGAAAGATCTCCGATTTCCCAACCCTCTTCCCCCACCGCAACCTCAGAACAAAAAAAAATCTAATTCACCGAAAGCTTGTCAGATACCCGTCGGCGATCACATCGGATATAACCGCTTTTCTCCCGGTTTGGAACAGGTTTGTGCAAGAATCTCGTCGACGCGGAGCTCGAGCACGCGCAGATGTGGGACGGTTGGGAGGGGGTTGGGGGCGCGCGCGGTCGAAGCCGCGTGGAGGCGGGTGCAACCATCGGGGTTGGTGGGGGCGTAATGGAGGCCGCGGCGCGGCGTGCACGGGGGCGCGCGGGGAGACACTGACCTTGGAGTGAATGTGCGACAAGAGGTGTTCGACTTCACAGTCGATCAAGGTAAGAGCGACAACATTAAATATCGCCCACAGAGTTATCAGGGAGTCACTCATTCGCTGGGCTGTAGTGACCAGGAGGATCAGTGCATTGTCAGTTGGTCCGTTATCCACCGCAACGGTGGTAATAAATGTGTGATGGGTTTGGAAGGCATGCCATCATTGAGCTTGATCAGACGGAGGAGGATTTGAAGTAAGTGATGGGCTTGGTTTGCCTGCCCGTGGATTTGCTGAACAGTTTGCAGGATTAAATATTCATTTTCTATACGTTTGTATTTTTCATCTATGTTAATGCGCATAGATCATATTTCGAAATTGGTTTTCCCTGTCATGTTGTTCTTTTGATCTTGTGCTTCACAAATTTGATTTATTCATCTAATGGTTTTGGCAGCAAAACGGATGTTTTCAGAAATTTAACGCTCAGACAATGCGGTGGGATGATATGGGACTCGCGGTAATTATTTTAGAAAAAGACAAGGAATCATAGGGTCGCAGTTTTAAAAAAAACAGTTGTCTATTTAGGGCTGCTTTTTGACCTTCATGTGGAGAAAATAAACGGTGACCACAGCCGTTTTTGCCACGAAATAATTATTTCAGTGATGATTCTGAAGTTTTCGGTTATTATTTCAAACAACCTGAGAGGATACTGTAAACCATTAATCCTGTTTTGTTTTTAACTGAGCTAATTCGATTGTTAGCTTAAATCAGTCTTCAGTTTAATCCAGGTATGCTCAATATTTGAGGAAAGAAGTCGATAGTTTTCAGTCTCAGCCTGGCAATGACTAAGGGAATTGTATTATGTTGTATTATAATTGTATTATAACGTGCTACTTTCTAAGAGTACACAGATGAATGAGAAATCAAGTATATCTGTAATATCCCTGTTAGTAAATTTAGTTGAATATGCAGAGATCATAACCTTATATTTCAACCTAAATGTGATACATTTGAACTTCCCAGAAAAAAATAACATTTATTGTTTCAGATAAATATTGGAAATGTTTTAGTATAATTGATTTGGAAAGTGGAACAATGTATAATTCAGAACCAACTCTATTTCTAAACACATGTTCAACAGCTAATGTATTTGATATTTCTAGTTTAAAGTAAAAATTATTGCACTAGTCATCTTTTCAATATATGTTAGCAGAAATAAAATACCATTATTTTTAATAAATAAACTACGGAAGTGCTACAAGTTTTATGCAGAATGTGTTTTAAGATCACTATTTAGCATGCTAGTGAGCATTTTTGTCACAAATTATTCTTCAACCCACAGTCTTCTGAATATAGTGACTCATGCTGCTGCACGATTTCACATGAACTGGCAGCCACCCTGGACTTTTTTGTTCTTAGTTTGTAAAGTTGAAAACCAGCAACCATGGTTTGCTTTTATATATTTGCATATCTGCTTTTGTAAAGAATCTCCCGGTGCTTTCCTGTGTTAATCAGATAAATGGGTACTGGCCAAAGAAGGAAATATTGGGAGAAATGATGTAGCCTGGTTAAAGGACATTAACTTTAGCTGACCGTTCACCAATTAAGACATCACAGCAAGTCTGAGTTAGTATCTAGACTATTAGTGCAGTATCTATACTTTGCTTCAGATGCACCTTGGTTAACAGTAAGAATTGAGAATCCTTACAATGAATCCAAAATGTTTGAGGTCAGTTTTAGTACACCACTACCACCCTATTTTGAGGCCTGCTAAGTCAGCATGGATGAGGAACCTCATTATGATTTATTGCCCATCCCTAATTGCCTTGGAGAAGGTGGTGGTGAACTGTCATCTTGAACAATAAGTTAGAGTTCATGGGGTGTAGGAACATCCACAATGCTGTTAGGAAGGGAATTCATGATTTTGACTCAATGACAGTGAAGACAAAAAGGTATGTAACTTATAGGGGAATTTGCAGGTGGTGGTGTTCCCAAGCATCTGCTGTCCTGGTCCTTCTGGGTGGTAGTAGTCACGGGTTTGAAATGTGGTATTGACGGAGGCTAAGTTTCTGCAGTATATCATGTAGTTGATGTACATTATATCATTTCACTTGACAAAGGAGCAGTGGTATGAAAGCTTGTGATTTTAAATAACTCTTTTGGACTATGTGTGGTGTCATGTGACTTCTGACTTTGTCCACCCCAGTCCGACACTGGCATCTCCACATCATTATATTAAAGCTTTGACAGGCAAGGTAAGACACTGTGACATGTTATTAGAAACATAGGAACAGGAGTGGGCTATTCAGCCCCTGGAGCCTGTTCCACCATTCAGTGACATCAAGGCTGATCTGTTGCGTAGCTCCATATACCTGCTTTTGGCCCGTATCCCTTAATATCTTTGCTTAACAAAAAATTATCTCAGATTTAAAATTAGCAATTGATCTAACATCTACTGCTGTTTGTGTGTAGAAGTGCTTCCTAACATCCCTCCTGAATGGTCTGGCTCTAATTCTCAGACTGTACCCCCTAGTTCTAGAATCCCAAACCAGTCAAAATAGTTTAGCTATTCTGTCTTTTTCTATTGATATCTTAAAGACTTTGACCAGATTGTTTAGTGCCAAAGCATGAATGTAATGTGATCAAATTTCAGTTTAAATACTGGAAAACTAAACAACTACTTTCCCACAGAGTAAAAAATTCAACTGCACTGTGCATCCTCTCTAAAATCGTATGACATTTGTTTTAAAATACAAATTTAATAATGAATTCTAGAAGATGCAGTCATTTGTTGTCTTTCTGTTTCTGAGACATGGATTAAAATTCAGTCTCTAATCTCTCTTAGCTATATAAAGATTGAAATTTAAATTATTCTGCACACTTCCGAATGGATATGACACCACGCTAACGACTTAACTTTCTAAATTCCAGAGAAAACAAGCCTAATTTCTATAATCTCTCCTCATAACTTAACTCCTGAAATAAATCTTTACATGGGCCTCCTTCCAGTACCTACCAAACATGATCAGGAGTCCAGTATCACTTGGCAAAAGAAATTAGTGTGGTGTCATATCCATTAGGAAGTGTGCAGAATAATTTGAATTTCAATCTTTATATAGCTGAGAGAGATTAGAGACTGAATTTTAATCCTTTAATACCTTTGCTTAACGAAGCGTATCTCAGGTTTAAAATTAACGATTGATCCAACATCTACTGTACTGCTGTTTGAGAAAGAGAGTTCCAAACATCTACTGCCTTTTGTATGTAAAAGTGCTTCCTAACACCTCTCCTGAATGGTCTGCCCCTAATTCTCAGACTAAGCCCCCTAGTTCGAGAATCCCCAATCAGTCAAAATACTTAACTTTATCTACCCTGTCTTTTCTTGAAAATATCGTAAAGATTTCAATTAGATTACCCTTTTAACCTTTTAAATTCTAGAGATAACAGGCCTAATTTCTGCAGTCTCTTCTCATAACTCTTGAAGTAATTCAAGGAGACATAGGAGGCACTGAAGTTATTTGAATTTTATAAATGAGACAAAATTGCAATTTGACAAAATTCAAAAATTTTGAAGGAAAATGGGATTTTTTTTTAAATTGAAAGTGAGATGCCATTTTAAGATTTCCACTTCTTTGCATGGGCCTCCTTTCAACATCTACCAAAGATATTCAGGAGTCTGGCATCACTCAGCAGAAGTAGTTAGTATGGAGTCATATCTGTTAGGAAATGTGTACTGTAATTTGAATTTCAATCTTTATATAGCTGAGAGAGATTAGAAACTCAATTTTAATTCATGTCTCAGAAACTGAAAGTCAACTGTGACTGTATCTTCTCATCATTGTTATTAAATTTGAATGTTAAAGCAAATGTCATATGATTTTAAGACCATTAGACCATAAGACGTAGGAGCAGAAATTACGCCATTCAGCCCATCGAGTCTGCTCTGCCATTCAATCATGGCTGATAAGTTCCTCAGCCCCATTCTCCCGTTTTCTCCCCGTAACACTTGATCCCCTTGATAATCAAGAACCTATCTATCTCAGTCTTAAATGTACTCAATGACCTGGCCTCCACAGCCTTCTGTGGCAGTGAATTGCATAGATTCACCACTCTCTGGCGAAAGAAGTTTCTCCTTATCTCCGTTCTAAAAGGTCTTCCCTTTACTCTAAGGCTGCACCCTCGGGTCCTAGCCGCTCCACCAATGAAACCATCTTCCCAACATCCACTCTGTCCAGGCCATTCACTATTCTGTAAGTTTCAATTAGAACCCCCCCCATCCTTCTAAACTCCAATAAGTATAGTCCCAGAGTCCTCAAACGTTCTTCATATGTTAAGCTTTCCATTCCTGGGACCATTCTCGTGAACCTCCACTGAACCTGCTGCAGGGCCAGTACATCCTTCCTGAGATATGGGGCCCAAAACTTCACACAGTACTCCAAATATGGCCTGACCAGAGCCTTACAAAGCCTCAGTAGTACATTCCTGCTTTTATATTCAAGTCCTCTCAAAATAAATGCCAACGTTGCATTTGCCTTCCTGACTGCTAACTCAACCTGCAAGTTTACCTTGAGAGAACTCTGGACTAGAACTCCCAAGTCTCTTTGCACTTCAGACTTGTGAATTTTCTCCCCATTTAGAAAATAGGCCATGCTTTTATTCTTCTTATCAAAGTGCATGACCTCACACTTTCCCACGTTGTATTCTATCTGCCACTTCTTTGCCCACTCTCTTAACCTGTCCAAATCCTTCTGCAGCCTCCCCACCTCCTCAATACTGCCTGTCCCTCCACCTATCTTTGTAACATCTGCAAACTTAGCCAGAATGCCCACAGTTCCTTC